CAGCTCTCCGCCCGGTATCCTTCGTCTTCCGCTACCGGTTGCTGAGAAGAGCGTGGCGCCGCAAGATCCCCCGCTCCTCCCCTCGCCGCAGCCACGTCCTCGCCGCAGCCTCGTCCTCGCCGCCGCGCGTCCTCGCCGCCGCGCGTCCTCGCGTCCACTGTCGTCGACGTTGTAGGAGAAGAGGAAGGAAGAAGGAGGTGGTCGCAGCAGGAGAAGAGAAGAGAAGAGGGGAAGAGGAGGAGAATTTTGGGGAAAACTTTTGATAAATCTCAGATTTAAGGCTCAGTCGAAGCCAATATGCCCCGGTTCTATTTTCAACCGAGTCCGTATGTGCCAATATGCCCCGGTTCTATTTTCAACCGAGTCCGTATGTTTCGCATGTGAGGATTAGGCCTCGGTTCAGTCTGGAAACTGAATCAGTATCTTTTTTAGACACCGGTTATCTAATAACCGAGTCATATAATGCTTTTAAAATTACCAGAGTGCCACCGCGTTTTGATAGACTTCGGTTCCGTAGAAACCGAGGCATAATGTCCGAGTTTAAGACGTCATTTTTTACTAGTGACACCAAAAAGTGTGATTTTCTATTCTATTCTATCAAACTTAAATGGTGGTTATTAGTGTTATTATTGCCAAAGCAACAGAACTTGTCTTTAGAAGGTTGAAGTTGAGGTTCATTTGTATTCCCAGAATCCAAGCAACAGTCACAAAGGGGAGCCTATTGTAATCACGTTTGGTTAATGACAACTTTTATTGATCAACTATAAAAAAGGGGAAACATTCATTTTTCTTCAAGGTTAATGCTTACCACAAACATGCTGATTCGAATTACAGAACCCAAAGAAGCAGCCGAGGAAATGTCTGCAGTAAGATCATTAGGTTAGTCCGAGGAAGTTAAATCACATGTCCAAGTATAAAACAATATCTCATTTAAACACGTAAGAATGCAGGCAAATGTTGGAATCAGAACTTGACACTGTCATCTGTTGTTGACCTGAGTTGTTAGAGTTGTGAAGTTGAAGGATTTGCTCTTGATATGACCGAGCGCACCCATCTTCCTCTTAGTTCTAGATCATTTGGAATGATGGAATCAGAACTTAACGCTATCAATTCATCACAACTCTGGTAAGCACTGTTGGATGTAAATGGTTGATGCTTCAATGAACCTTCAGCAGCTTCAGCGGTGTATTGGGCATCAAGTTGTCCTATCTCATATAATCGTCCTTTGTTTTTTTCACCCATGCGATCCACCCAACGTTGTGCAATATTGATATCTTTATCATCCATATTTGTTTGGAATGCATCATTAGAAGGCCATGATCCTTTCTCGGGTTTTACCTCTGAGAGTCTACTGGAAAATTGTCTCTGTTTAAGTATGCAAAGTGTTAGTAAAAGTCTAAAAAGAACAAAATAATACAAGTTTAAAATTTGCAGAATAGTTTGCTTACATGTGTCCACGACCTCTCAGGAACAAACGGACTAATTTCATTATGTAGAGGAATTTGCTGAAACACCTCGCCAACATGAAGAGTCCGTTGCAGTTCACTTAATTGTTGTCCAGTAGAGATGATAGGGTAAGAACTTGGCACTGTGGTTGATTTTTGTGCAAAGACGTTTCGGTAAGGCAAAGGGAACCGTATTGGTCTTTGTGGTTTATTAACAAAGACGTTGTTGGAGTGAAAATTTGGCGGTGTTGACATTTGTTGTTGAGCAGAGACGTTGTTGGAGTTTGAAGAAATAGAAAACTTTGATTGACGTGTGGGATTTGGAATGGAGGCGTCACTGCTTGGCCTTCCCAAAGAAGAATTGGAAGATGAGCCGTGGTGGGAAATTCCAGAGGAAAAAGCAGAGCTTGGGTTTGAGGTGCTTGATTTTGAGCTCGACATCTTTGTATGCTGCTTTCTCAGAATTCGTAGTGGTTGGAACTTGCTTGTTTTACGAACAGGGATATAAAGCCCTAACATTTCTGCAATTTTAATGGAGTCGTAAAATGCATCATGCACGTTGATCGATTCAAAGTCAACGGAAATGTCACTGTTTGTGCTCTCATAATTTTTCTCTATTAAGAAGAACAACTTGTGTAAGTGTTAAGGCCAAACACGTTATCAGATAAATATAATACAAAAGTTACGTCGAAGCTTCATCATCATGCAAGAAAATCAAGGTGTTTTCTTTTAATATGGAAATTTGGTGAATGCTTCAAGCCACATATGCTTGTCTAATTATTTTTTTTTACAAATATTTTGTTTTACAAATATTATCTCTTTAAATAGAAATTTTCGTATTCCTACATAACACACACACACATATATAATTCAATAAAAATATTAATAATATAAAGATATAAATTATATATTTTACAAATATTATAGTTTCCTTTAAAAACTGACTCCATCATAAATTAAAATAAAAAATATTACATTAATTTTATAAAATAAAAGAGTTTTGTGGGGGATATGATTTATGCATTACAATATAATATCTATGGTGAATAAAAAAATGTAATGGCTATATAAATTTTGTGTTCTTTTTGGTAATAATAAATAACAGCAAGCTTTGATCTCTTACAAATTTTAATTGGTTTAGTTAATTTTTGTTCATACTCTGACCAATCGGTCAAGTCCCAATATCAATTTATTCACGCAAAGGGTCTGACTTCTTCAAATGGGAGTCTGGATTATGCTGGCTAAATCTAAGTTCGTTTAATATTATTATCAGTTGCTATTATCTTTTTAGTTGTTTTATTAATTATTATCCTTTCCCAGTCATCATCTAGATTTATGGGTAACTAAATTTTAGGTTTAATACTGTTGGTCTCAATTTTTGTCAACTTTATTCGAAATGTTCTTCATTTTTTTAGAATGTTCAATGTAGTTTCTTTATATCGTAATTTATGTTCAATTTAGTCCTTTTTGCAAACGACGTTTAAATCACAGTTGCCTCAGTGGTATTAATTTGATAGGTTCAACGACAACATATCAGTACCACTATTTTTATTATTGTTTTTTCACTCGTATCGTGATAACCAATATTTTGGAAACTTTTTCAAAATTTCAAACTTTTTCCTATATAATATTCAATCATTCTGACATGTATGTATCCGTTTATACTCCATAGCCATTGGATAAATAATTTTTTTTGCATCATAATTACAAGTGGGTAGTGTATTTCTATCTAGCAATATTTTATTCAACAACGACAATAATTTTGTGAAACTCTTATCAGTTGAACTGCTAACAACCATATGAACTTAGTTGAACCGACATACAAATGAGCTTTTGCATCAGTGGACATCGTTTTATATACATGTGCTTGGGCAAAAGCTTCTACTCCAACATCACAAATTATGTCTTCTAATTTTTCTTCTTCTAATCGATCTTCCATTGTAGAATCAAATACATTTTCAGTTAGGTACATAGTTGGAAACTCTATTAATTCAACATGCCATATCCATGTTGTATAACTTCGTAGGAAACCATCACGAATAAGATGTTCCTTAATTTCGGTTGCACTCAACTACCTCCCATTCAAACAGTAGACACAAGGACATCGAAAGTTGACTTCATCATCACTTATACCCTCATTACGTTGCGCAAATTGTATAAATTCTTCTACCCTTCTCTCGTATTTATGCGAGGTGAATTAACATACGCATATTTACTGAAATTGTTTATACAATTTTAATAATCTTGAATGATCACTTTGATCATTTTTGTATTCAAGGTTTGACATTATCCCATTCAAGAAGATTCACTTTTTTTATTATTGAACATATAAATTTTAAACAACATATTTAAATTTTACGAAAATTTTCAAGTATTTCACATTGGTCTTCAAGTTACACTGATTATAAATCATAATCAAATATGCACCCGAAGGTCAATATAAAACACAACTGCAAATTTTCATAAAATTTAAGACATGTATATTAAAATTTATATATATTAATAAACTATGAAAAATTATTACTCTTCTTAAATTGTCCAATATCTATAAATTTGTAAAAAAGTACATTTGTTCCAAAAAAAAATTAGAGATAGTAAATAATTTTTGTATTGAATCTCAAACGGGAAACTAAGGTTAATTCAATACAACAATATATCCAAGCAAATAAATAATTACATAAGACAACATACCATATATGAAAAAGGTACTAAATAATTATACCATATTAAAATAATTTTTAAGAATAGGAACCTGGATCGTGAAAGCCGATCAACAATGAAGAATGTCCGCGTTTTAAAAGCTATAAACTCTCATGACAAAAATATAATATCTGGACAAAAACAAACAACGTATTAATTAGTCACATGATTCATAACCTTAAGGTTTATTTCATGAGCAAACCAACCAATTTAATATAATTCAAAATTTTATTTTCCTAATTTCCATATCCTAATTCAAAACAATTCATATATATTATAATTCTTATTATATTTTTTGTTTGGTTTCCATTTCTTATATCAAAGACAATTTGGCTTTAATTTTTATTGTAAGTAATATTATGAACCAATTTATATTATCATAAAATTTTTAGAATTTTTAATATTATAAAATTTCATATTAAACTTTATTTATTTATTACAGACAAAACAGATTTTCTCGAGGATGTAGGAAAATGTAGAAGCTCATTGTTTACAATCAAATGGGATATCATAAGTTGGACACCTGATGGTTATGTTGTAAGTACATTCCTTTTCGGGTCACCTATTAATATCAGAAGCAAATAATATTTACAGTTAGACATGGTCATAAACGCTTTTGTCCCTTTTTCTCTCTTCTAGTTAGGCTTATATTTTGTGATGAATATGCAAGTTCGCATTAGTTCCATCTCATGTTATATTTCAGTTCTTACTTGGATAATGTATCTTGCTTAAAAGGTCCAGAAGCAAAATCATTTTGTTCACCGAGAAATGAAAGCAATGTGATCTCTATCACCCTTCAGTGTTAATTGAAATTCATATGGCATCTGCATCATACTTGGTAGAGACCGAACGGTTAAAATTCAGCACCGTTCAGTCCATCCACCCACTCAGGTCAAAGATTGGACCGCAATTGAGTCAGCGTTTAATATATTATTGGGCCAGGGATCCAACAGATGGTAAAATAATCAAGAATATATAATTAAAGATATTGATAAGCAGGTTATAAACAACCAATCAGAATTTTAGGTAAGTCTATTTATATTTTATTCTGTTTATATTTTATTGAGCTTATATCAGCTTAAGATCCATCAAACAACTTATAAATAGAGAACCAGGGCCACAAGCCAGGTACGTTCCATTCACGTTCGACTGACACTTCTAAATACTCAATAGTGATAATCATTCACTAAATATTCAATCAAGAGCCGAGGCTCTTAAAATCACATGCCTAACTTGAGCGTTAGAGTATCTTTTACAGGTACCTCCCCCCTGGAGCATGAAAGCAATCGATCGGCAAAGACTGACGTGACCGAACAGCCCAAACAGAAATCAATCGAGTGGTCAGACTATGGAAGTCGAGCGGTCTAAGCGAAAGGAGCAGGTGAAGCACGTGATTCAAGCGTCAAAAAGGTTAGTGTCTCGGTCCCACAAAACATTTTGGCGCCCACCGTGGGGCTGAGGGGCATCCCTTATAACCACAAGGAACCGAACAACGATGTAGTCTCACCATCAACGTCAACAAGCTTCTAGGACTTTACAGATAATTATTTTGATATAGATTCATTTTGTTACTTAATTTATATGATTTAAATTAAATATCTTAATTCAATATTACAATATTATTCAAGATTTATTAAAGGTCCAATAATGCACTCACCACTTAGCCAAATTTGGCATCAAGTGTTCAACCGTGCAGCAGCTTAGTCATTCGACCTTACTGGTATTCAGCCGTTCGGTTTAAAAGTACAGGTGACAGGACCATGCAGACCGCTCGTCCAAGAGGAGGGCAAAAATCGAGCGGTGATAAAAGTTCTCAACGAACTGTCACACTCGTAAACAAAATGCAGGGACGTTATCTGAAAATCACTTGGTCAAAACCGATCGGTGATAAAAGTTCTCAACGAATTGTTACTTTCGTAAACAAAACCCAAAGACGTTATCTGAAAAACACATGGTCCAAACCGAGCGGTGGGGAACGTTCTCAGCGAATGTTCACTCTCGTCCTAAACCGAGCGATGAGGTTCTATACGGTCTCATTCTCATCCTAAACTGAGCAGTGTTGGACATCCCCAAGGACTAACACTCTCGTCCACTAGGAAGTTCCAAAACGAACTCCTAGGTCAAAAAATCGAGCGGTGGGGAACGTTCTCAATGAACGCTCACTCTCGTCCTAAACCGAGCGGCGGAGAACGTTCTCAGGGAACGCTCACTTTCGTCCTAAACCGAGCGATGAGGATCTATACGGTATCACCCTCGTCCTAAACCAAGCGGTGAGGTTCTATACGGTCTCACTCTCGTCCTAAACCAAGGATGGAGACTGCACCCAAGCATGGGCCAAGGACAAGCTGGGCCTTCAAACAGACCACCACAGCAACAATACCAACCACACCCTTCTTTATTAGATAGGACTTCTAAATTGGAGGACGCTCTCCAACAATTCATTCAAGTGTCCATCTCCAAACAAAAACGTACCGAAACCTCCATCAGGAATTTGGAGATTCAAGTTGGCCAACTTATCAAGAATCTAGAAGAAAAGTCTGAGAAGAGTTTTGGAGCAAATACGGAGGCTAATCCAAAGGAGGAATGTAATGTAATATTCACTAGAAGTGGAGAAGAGGTTGGAAGAAAAGAAGAAGAAAAGGAAAAGCCAAAAGAAGAAGAGAAGGAAAATAATGAAGAGGAGGATCAAGAAGCAAAAGAAGTAGAAGAAGATATTGTTGTAGGAGAATAAGTAAATAATAAGTAAGATAAAGAGAAAAATCAAAAAGAAAAAGAGATTGTGAAACACCCTCCTTATCCCAAAATCCCCTCTAAAAAAGAGAAGGAGAAACAATTGGCTCGGTTCAAGCAAATTTTCAACCAACTTGAGACCACCATGCACTGCAGCAAATTCCC